CTCCTGGCTAACCTTCGGACGCCCATTTTCTAGTTCGCCGCCATCAACAACCCTCCCCTCCCCGCCGAGGGCCCCGGCAATGAGTCCTTCTCGAACCTGGTTCTTCTTGGCCTCACCCTCGGCCTCCCGACATGGCTGGCCTGGAACCTAGGCGGCGGCTTCAAGACCACCGTCTTCTTCATCCTCGTCCTCTTCTTCCCCCTCCTGGTCGCCTACTGGGCCATCACCTCGCGCATCTCGCCCCGCACCAACGAAAAGGCCCGGCTCCCCGGCCGCAACATCGAGGAGTACCTGACCTTCAAGCACGAGGCCGACCGGCTCCGCTGGAACGGCCGCCGCAAGATCCCCATGCAGGTCTTCATCGAGAAGTACCTGGAGGGCGAGGTCGACTTCAACGGCGACTGCCTCGACGTGCTGGAGTACCGCCACGACTGGGCCACCTGGGCCTTCACCTGGTCGCTGTTCCGCTTCATCCTGCTCGGCTTCGGGCTCGACGTGCTCTTCCACTCGCGCGAGCAGGACGAGCAGCAGATCCGCCCCACCTACGACACCGGCAACGACCACTACTCGTGGTTCCTGGGCCCCCGCATGGTCTACACCAGCGGCATCATCTCCGACCCCACCCGCGAGGAGTCCCTCGAGGAGATGCAGGACAACAAGATGGCCGTCGTGTGCGAGAAGCTCGAGCTCAAGGAAGGGGAGAAGATGCTGGATATCGGCTGCGGCTGGGGCACCCTCGCCAAGTTCGCCAGCGTCAACTACGGCGCCAGCGTCACCGGCGTCACCCTCGCCCGCAACCAGGCCGCCTGGGGGAACGATGCGCTCCGTCGCGCCGGCGTCTCCGAGGACCAGAGCCGCCTCCTGTGCATGGACTACCGTGACATCCCCCACCAGAAATTCAACAAGATCACCCAGCTCGAGATGGGCGAGCATGTGGGTATCCGCCGCCTCACCGCCTTCTTCCGCCAGTGCTACGACATGCTGGAGGACGACGGTGCCATGTACGTCCAGCTTTCCGGTCTGCGCCGCCCTTGGCAGTACGAGGACCTCGTCTGGGGTCTGTACCTCAACAAGTTCATCTTCCCCGGCGCCGACGCCTCGACGCCCCTGTGGTATTATGTGAGCTGCCTTGAGAAGGCTGGCTGGGAGGTCAAGAGGTGAGGCCATCTTTCCCCAAGGACTCGGATGCCGAGAGAGATGGGGTCCCAAAAAAAAATTAAAAAAAAAATTGATACTGACCTGCTACAGCATCGACACCGTCGGCGTCCACTACTCGGGCACCCTCTGGCGCTGGTACCGCAACTGGCTCGGCAACGGCGACACCATCACCGCCAAGTACGGACAGCGCTGGTACCGCATCTGGGAGCTCTTCCTGGCCTGGTCCACCATTGCCTCGCGCCAGGGCAGCGCCACCTGCTTCCAGTTCGTCGTCGTCAAGAACCTCAACGCCACCCACCGCATCCTCGGCGTCAACTCCCAGTTTGGCATTCACGGCGCTCTGGCGGCCGCCAGGGCTGCTGGCAAGGCAGTCTTCCCTCAGTAAGGGGCGGACTATGTGCGGCGTCAAACTGGAGGAGACTTTTCTTTTCTCCTTCCACTACAGTCGCCGTGGTGGATAAAACCGACTACGGATTTTTCTTCTTCATCTCGGATAGGATACAGACGGGCGTCGGAAGCCTAATGAAGGAAACAAAGAAGATGGATAATAATGTTGCTTAGAAGGGGGGACGGGATACAAAACGTGGTCTGCCCACGCTTAGACTCGGTGTAAAGTAAGGTAATAAAAGAGGGTACTCGGTAGTTCTGTGCCAAGGTACTTCGTATAAGCACTATGGAAAGGAAAAGGAAATTCAAATTCGGAGAAACCAGTGCGGATTACGGTGTTGGTTACCTTACTGTTGCGGTCTACGAATATCTTTGCTACTGTTATCAATTCTGAACTTTTCTCCGCTGTCCATTGAACGAAAGTACTTCGCTGTGCCCATATTATTCGTACTTACTTCGTACCTCGAGGTACTGGAGCTCGAGAGACCCTGCAGTTCCCACTTGGGGAAGGTCGAGGTACACTGTACGAATACAGACGCGTCGCAGGTGATTGGGGTTGGTTTTCCCAGCTAGTACTTCCGACGTTCTTCAGCTGACGGGTTGCCCGCATCGGCAGAATATCAAAACATTGCAAGTCACAATTCGAGTTTATTACTAACCCCGATCGTGGTCCACCCTCGACCCCAGGTCCCCCAACCACCGACCTCGCCAGCCGCCTTCTGTTTATGGCGCTAATTGTACGAATATGTACATATCTTGTATCTTGCATCTTTTATCCGTACCACCGTCGGTCGACCTTCACTTGTCAACCGTCACTCCCTTCATCTTTTCACCTCGTCACTACTCCTCCTCTCGTCGTCCTCGTTTACTTCTTTTCCTTGCATGTAGTGTGCCACAATCCTATGGAATGCGACGAGTGCATTCTACTGAGCGAATTTGGTTACACAACTGCGGCCCCCCCCCACCTCAGTCATAAGACGCGTCCCGTCATAACCATAACAGGACCTCGACAGCTTCAGCTTCAGCTTCGGCTTCGGCCTCGGGCTCGGCCTCAGCCCACCACCTCTCTGCTCTCTTTGCGTTTCACCACATATCGAAGCTCTGCACTCGCAAGTGCGGGACACCACTCCTCTTACCGAATGCGATCAGATACTCGTTAATAGTTCTACGAGAAACGCCGGCGTCGCCTCTGCCGAGGGGGGAAGAGATATCCAGACGCGTCGCAAGCTGATCCCGACCCTCACACTGCCTTTGCCGCTACACCCACGCCCCATTGTGGAATTCACTGTGCTTCTGCGCCATACAACTAAATGGGTCGTTCGTCCGTTCTGACCGCGGACAATCTATCATGCCTACTGCGCATGTGCTCCCCGAGGCCGATGAGCTTCTTCAGCAAGTCGCCGCTTCCCTCTTCAAATCGAGGAAGATTGTCGTCGTCACCGGTGCGGGCATCAGCACGAATTCGGGTATTCCGGTCAGTACTCGCCATGATTGCGTTCGTTTCTTTGTCGCGTTTGGTTGGGGAGGGGTCACGAAGGAAAAACAAAGAAGTAAAAAAAAACACGACTTGACTGATTTCAACGCAGGACTTCCGATCCGAAAATGGCCTCTACTCCTTGATCCAAGCGCAATTCGATGCCGCTAGACAACCCGCCACATCACAACCCTCTCTCTGTCCCGCAGACGCCGCTGCCTCCAGCGGTCCATCCTCTTCCCTCCACGAGGATGCACCGCCAGCCAAGAAGAGAAAACTTTCATCCGACTTTGGAAATGATGGTTCTGGATCAGAGCGGCAAGGTTCAGAAATCATATTCCAACCACTGCCTCCGAGGCAAAACGCGACGAAGAGGCTACCCGCCCACTGCGATCAGCATGATCGGGAGGAAGTGCAACTAGAAGAGACGGACACAACAGCCGGGCTTTCCACATGCCGCTCAGAACGTACCGGGCGTCTGAGGTCCCATTCGGCTGGGCCCTGCACTCCTATCCATCGTAGGCCTGGGATAGCCTCTGGAGGCGCTACAGGCGACGGAGAGGAGCCTCACAGCATGTCGGCAGCACGCCCCTCAGCACGCGCAAGATCACTGAGTCCGGTACGAAGCAAAAATGACTACGGATGTGGGACTATGGGGAAGAAACCTTGGCCTTGTGTCCCCGGCCTTGAGATTCACAGGGCGGCCCTGCGTTCGACCCTGCGTTCGACCCTGCATTCGAGCCGATCCTCTACGCGTCGCCAGATCGTAGACGTACCGTCGAGCCCATCGCCTCTGTCATCAACGCCGACCGGCGGCTGCACTCAACCAGCACTGCCTCAGCATAAAAGCCAACCCATACATGGCGATTTTCTCGCGCCGTCCCAACCGCCACAATCCATGCTCTCTTTCAACTCCTCGCCGCTTTCGTCCCCGCCACCTGTCCTCTTCGATCCATTCCAGGAATCGTCCTCCTCGTCCAGTCAACATACTTCCAGTGTGGCTAGCAGTACGGCCGCCTCCGAGACCGATGAAACCACGCCGACCTCTGTACCATCCTTGGTGTCGCAGACATCCTCAACGTCAAATTCGAGCCGATCGAGCTTACCGACGCTCAAAGGACGCGACCTCTTCGACGTGTCCATCTGGTCGGACCCCGTGCGAACGTCCGTCTTCTATACTTTTGCCACCACCCTCCGCCAGAAAGTCCGCCAAGTCGACCCGACCGCGTCGCACCACTTCATCGGCCACCTCCGCGATCGCGGCAAGTTGGTCCGGTGCTACACGCAAAACATCGACCAGATCGAAGAGAAGGTCGGCCTCTCGACGTCCCTGCAACAAGGGCCCGGGAACCGGAGCAGGTTCTCCAGAAAGTCCCTCGGGGCAGGCGCCTCGGCTGCCAGCGCATCCGCCCAAGGCACCCCCACCTCAAGCTCGGGGCCGGAATCGAACCCGCCGTCACGCCGGGACACATCCGACGGGGGCGTCGAGTGCGTCTTCCTGCACGGGTCCCTGCAGTCCCTCCGCTGTTTCCGCTGCGGTCGGATCGCCGAATGGGACGAGGACGGCCGGTCCCTCGACACGCTCTCGGGACGACAACCCGAGTGTCCTCACTGCGCTGGCGCCACCGCCGCCCGCCAAGAGAAGGGCAAGAGGGCGTTGGGCGTGGGGAAACTCCGCCCCGACGTCGTGCTATACGGCGAGGAGCATCCCAACGCGCACCTCATCGATCCCATCGTGAAGCATGACCTGGCCTTGTACCCCGACTTCCTCCTGATTCTCGGCACGTCTCTCAAAGTACACGGGCTTAAGGTTCTCGTGCGCGAGTTCGCCAAGACGGTCCGTAGCAGGGGAGGTAAGGTCGTCTTTGTCAACTTCACCAAGCCTCCCGAGAGTTCATGGGGCGATATCATCGACTATTGGGTCCAGTGGGACTGCGATTCCTGGGTCTCGAATCTCCGGGAGAGGATCCCTCTTCTGTGGCTGCCGCCAGGGACAAAGCTGCCTGCCCAGCCGAAGAAGAAGCGGGAGAGCTCCGGAGGTACGAAACCGGCCAGGAAGAAAGCCAAGACGATCGAGGAAGGGAATCAAGCATCGATCACTGTCAAGCTGCTTAGTGATGAGGCTGCAAACCCCGAATCCGAGTCTGGACTCGGCGCCACAACTAACGCCGTCACGTCTGCCGAGACGTTTGCGGAGACATCCCATGCCGGCCTGAACTCGGACATGGACCAACCCCCGGATCCGCCCAGTGCCCAGCCGAAACCACCGCCCCAGCGACCCATGTCGATGCGCGACGACAAAATCAACGCCGCGTACCTGACGTGGCAGATCACCCGGGATCTTAGACGAATCTCGGGCCGCCATTCGGAACCCATCGACACGTTCTCCCGTCCATCCCAGACCCAGAAGCCCTCGCGCGTCTCGACAGGGCACAAAGCCAAGGCCCCTTGCACCCCGACGTGTCCGCCTTCGCGGATTCCACTACCGTCGTCTGCGATTCGCGTCAAGGCCAAACGCGAAGACGGCCGACCACGCAAGCCGCTCCCGTCGAGCCCCGTCCACCACGACAAGCCGAACCCGGCAGAAGAAAAGAAGCCGCGCCAAAGAAAACCTGCCCCGGGTTGGATTTACGTTCCCGTCGGGGCTGCAGCTGCAGATGAAGAAGGTCCATCGAATAGCCAAGGGGCAGCTACATGTACCCATAACCCACCTGCATCCTCACCGACAGCGACGGGCCCGAGCGGTGAACAGTCGATCCTGGCGGCCGTCAAATCCAACCCGAGGAGGAGGAAACGCAAGATGATTGGCGGCGTCGAGGTGTCACTACCAACCGCGACGCGACGTGCGACTCCCGCCAAGGACTCTGCGGAACCGCCACCCCCGGGCGGCAGTCTGGCGAAGCCCATGTCCCGACCGATCCTGCCGCCGCTCATCCCGTCTCCGAACAAGGAGAAACCCCGTCACTTACGGCCGGCTCATCGGCCACCCCGTCTCTTGCTGGACGAATCCGTCGAACTGGCACCCATCCGCCATTCGCTGGGCGACCGGCCCGCACCCCCCCTGAAACCGATGCCGCTGGAACCGTCTTCACCACCCGCTGGGCCCCTGGCGACCATCTCGCCCAACGCCACTCTCCGCCCCACCATGAAATCGACCACGCCCTTCGCCTACTTCGATTCCCTGGTGCACCAGTTGAAGCAACCACCCGTTTGGAAGCTCAGGCCCGCGGGGCCGTTCTTCAAATCACTCGGCCTTGGCTGGACCCGGTCGCAGGAGACTGAGGGGGCAACAACGTCCGGGGGCATCTAGGAGTCCGTGTCCCGCTTTGTACATGGCCTTTTTTTTCGACACTTTTTTCAAGTTCTTTATGGAATGATTCATGACTATTTCCTTTCAGTATCGTTAGGGGAGGTAGTGGATACCCTTTATGCTATCCGAGTTGTCGGTATGCCCTGATGATTCGTGGGTTGGGACGACAAACCCTCCAGCTTGGCGAAGGGGGAGGAGGAGGAGGAGGAGGGTGTTCTTTCGGAATGGAACCTGTCTGTAGCGGGAACTAGGTGGTATACAGATAACGACCCGCGGTTTGCCTTGGTGGAAGAAGAATAAGACTGCATCGTCTCGCCCTGACCACGATGGAAAAGAATGCCGACCCTGTCTTCACCGTAACGACTTTAGTCCTTTATTTTTGAGGTGATGACATTCTTCTTGCTTACTCGGCATTTCCAACTATTGCCGGAATCGTTCCGATTGCCTAACGGCACGGTTCACTACTCAAAGCTTGCTGCTTCACTGCTTCGTCTTATACCGGCGGTAGAGATTGAGGTTGCTAGACGCTCTGTTTCCCTCCGTAGTCCAGACTTAATGTATCCCCTTTGGTCTCTGTATTGTCCTTGCGGAGTAACATCTTCGAACTCGTTCGGTTGGTGACTGCTTGCGGAGTAAGAACTGGGTAATAATGGCTACGAATGAGAGAGCACTCGGGGGTGGTTATGTCTTTGACATGAGTTTCCACAGTAATGACAAAACTCCCTTATGAAAGCTTCTCGTCTTGGTAGGTTTGCCCGCGTGGTGTTCCAGGGTCAGCAGAGTTTCAGAGAGAAAGCAACCGAGACAACTGCTCTTTGAGCGCCAGGTTGACCTAGCTCTTTTTACGAGGCCCTTTCCCGACAAAGCGTTAAGAGGCAACTGTGGCATTAAGGTCTTAGCACTGGACTAACAAAGATTCCTACTAATACATTTATACCGAGGCATTATAAAGCCGCTACGTAGAAATGTTGTCGATCTGATCCTTTTCACTGCTATAGGCTGGAGGTGGCTTGCCTTCAGTGGTCTTAACCTTAACTAGACTCGACGTAGCAAGTACTTAATCGAAGTAGTCAAGAAGGAAACCGACTACCTTATTATAGCAACCTGTGTTTCGTAACCGATACAGACACGTCAAGACATTGAAGTAAGTGCATGTCATATACCATCATCGGCTAACCAACTATAAAATCGAAAACCAAAAGCTCCTTCTAAACTAAAAACAAAGATAGTTTTCCCTAGACTAAGTTCAATACTCGCAGAGACTAGAAAACAACACCTGGTAGATTAATTTTCATGGCAAGAGGTTGAGTACGGAAGTTTGTTTCCCATTTATTCTTGCAGATTGCTACGTTACGCTCCCGGAAACTAACTGCAAGTACGTAGTCATAAGATGTCTATACGAATCCGACCTACTGCCTTCCCATAACGTCGCATAGAAGCCCACTCTTAGTTTGTGATTGCAAAGAGACAAGGAGTTGTGGGATGTTACAGGTAATAGGAGGAGTTCCCGTGGCAGTGGAACTACCTACTACTCCTGACGCTATTTCGACAATGACCCGACCGTGCTAGGAAAGGTTAATGGGTTGGATTACTCGTATCTGGCGAAGTGTATGGCAGAGTGGCAGTAGCGGTCAATCCATCACTCTCCTTGATAGCGTTCATCTCAATGCTCATAGCTCCTTGTCGGTGAGATGGTTTTGGGTTCTTGCTTCTATCATCTCTCAAATATTTTCGAACTTCGCATCTCCATCCGCATAACACATATTCGGGGGTACAGGCTAGAAAGGTACAAGACTGTCTGTCTCGGGGAGGGCCGGTATAGTCTGGGGGTAAGGGGATCCCGAGTTAGAAGTTTTCATACTTTTTATACCCGATTGACTCTGTTGATATGATCCTTCGTTATTCCTAAACTCCTACTCTATTCTAAAGTGCATGCACTGTGGACAAGAGTGATGAAGAGGAAGCGGACCTATTCTTGTCGATGTCGCCAAATGTCAGAGCACAACTTACAAGACTTCAGGCGCACAGCGATCATGCGCCGGAGGCTTTAGTATATGATAGAATAACCCATAATAATCATCAGTTGGTCCTATTGTAGGCTTGGAAGAAATTATCGACAAAGAGATACTCCCCAAAATACCTTGGTGACAAAATTATATATTCCAAACAAATATCGTGACGCCATAAGGTGCCGACGGGATAAACTGTACATAGGCACAAGAAACACCTACTATCTGCGCTCTAGTTGTTTTGAACTTTTGAATCATTTGAGATGAGTATCCTATCTATCTTCTCAGGACTGGGTAAGTGGCTTCAATACTACGACGTGCGAAGGATAGCAGCCATGTATGACCTGTCCCTTGGACCAGTGTAAGGACTTTGTTTGAGCCGGGGAGCACGAGACAAGATAGTGAGACTCGGGACTATGCAGCTGCATGGGACGAACGATGGACCAAGCGGGAAGCTAACGCTAGGGGAAGCTGTTCGCTGTCAAACCGCCAAATCGGTATCGAAACGTCGTGTTCGCGGCCATTAGGGGATGGTCTGGCAGAGAAGCAGATGAATACAGATACAGACAGGACGGTCCAATGCAGGGCCGGTCATCTGCACAATGCAGGCGGGCCTCTAGTGTTGATTATCGGCGGACCTGAGATAATGCAGTTTTCTCCACTTCACCCTGTCGTACGAAGTACGGATACGGATAAAAACCTCATCACGCTCAGAGTCCTCGGAGAGCCAACGGTGGTTCATGACCAATTACTTTCGTGGTGGACAACCTACCGCATGCCGCAGGGGACACTGTAACAACTTCTAAAAATAGTAACAACGCATCACTAGGTATACGCCGATGGTAGCATTAGTATCGTGTAGTACGTAATCACGAAGGGGGTCGCGCGCGGATAAATAGGCCTTCGTACCTTAGCCTTCGGGCACGGAAAAAAATAAGGGGAGATTATTAGGAAAGACTAGATAGGGTCTAAATAAAAGAGTAACCTATAATAGAGTTTATACTATCTAGAACTAAGGGTATAGGGTCTTATATAGATATAGCTTAATATAATATAATATATATATATATATATATATATATATAATAATTAGAAGCTTAGTTTATAATATCGATATAATTAATACTAATACTAATATACTACCTTATTTACTATAAAGAGAACTATAATATAAGTACTTTTCAATAGGTTATTAGTAGTCGAATTTAGGAAATTATATTTTATTATTTATTAGTATAAAACTAACCTATAAATAACCTATAAATAAGTAAAGATCTTTATTAATATATTTAATACTAAATATATAAGATTATAACCCTTATTAAATAAAAAGAATAATTAATATAGGAGCGTGTTATTTATAGTATACTAGGCTTTTACTAAGATAATTACCTTAATCCTAAATTTAATAATATAA